TGGAACACTGCAGCAAACCAGAGACAGAGATGTTGGCCAGGGAACAGGGTGGTGCGTTAAAGTAGCAGGCAACAGGTAGCTCAGGGTCTTTTATGCGAGCAGAGCGTAGATGTTCTGCGAAGCAGTCATCCAGTCTACACTTCATTTCCCCCGTGTAGAGGAGACCACATCGTGAGCAGCGAATGCAGTAGACTAGATTCTGGGAAGTGCAGGTGGTGTTGCTTCACCTGGAAGGTATGTTTGGGCCCTTGGATACTGGGGAGGGAGGAGGTAAATGGGCAGGTGTTGCACCTTCGCCGGTTAGAGGGGAAGGTGCTGTGGTTAATGTGGGCATGTGCAAGGTTTTAAGATTAGGAATAAATACATGGTAGTGTGTATTATAAAAACTAAACAGCTGTAGGTTACAGAACTCATAACAGGGAAATAACTCAGTCAGACCAAAAGAGAAATATATAGCAGCAGTAAGGAAAGTTAACTGGATCTTAAAATATGTAGCCAGAGGGATAGAGCAGGAAATTACATTGAGTGCACAAAGCAAATGTATAGTCACACCTACATCTGTACTACAGAAAGAATAGTTAGATATCATAAACAATCTACTTTTTCTGAGATTTCCAACTCAGATGAAAATCTCTGGATCTTCAACTCTGGAAGGAAGTCTCATATTAGGAACAGAGGAGTTAACAGTAAAGGATGGAGAAGCTACTGTTGTTATTAATTGTCTGTTTATTGTTTTACAACAGATTTCCTTGTACTTAATTGAAACATAGTAAATAGGAGCAGGAGTTGGCCATTCGGCCCATCAAGCCTCCTCTACCATTCAGTCTGATCATGTCTGATCATCCAACTTGGTGTTCTGTCCCTGCTTTTGCTCCATATTCTTTGATCCCTTTTGTCTTAAGATGTATATCTAATTCCTTCTTGAAAACATTCAATGTTTTGGCCTCAACCACTTTCTGTGGCAGAGAATTCCACAGGGTCACTTCTCTCTGGGTGAAGAAATTTCTCCTCATCTCAATCCTGAGTAGCCTTTCTTTAGATTGTGACCTTTGGTGATGGGCTCCCCGATCATTGGGAACATCCTTCCTGTGTTTACCTTCTCTAGTCCTATTAGAATTTTATCAGTTTCTGTAAAATCACCCCCACATTTTTCTAAACTCCAGTGAATATAGTCCTAATCGATCCAGTCTCTCGTTATATGCCAGTCTGCCATCTCAGAAATCAGTCTGGTAAACCTTTGTTGCACTCTCTCTGTAGCCAGACCATCCTTCCTTAGATAAGCAGACCAAAACTGCACACAATACTCCACGTGCAGAGGCACAAAGGCCCAGTACAGTTACAGCAAAACATCTCAAATCTTGTGTACTCAAATCTTCTCACTATCAGGACTAACATACCATTTGCTTTCTTCACTGCCTGCTGCACCTGTTTGCTTACTTTCAGCAATTGGAGGACGAAAACATACAGGTCTTGTTAAACCTCCCCCTTTCCCAATCTATTGCCATTCAGATAATCTACCTTCCTGTTTTTGCTACTGAAGTGGATAGCTTCACGTTTATCCACCTTATACTTCATCTGACATGCATTCACCCACACATTCACTTGTCCCAGGCACACTGAAGCATCTCTGCATCCTCCTCACAGCTCACCCACCCATCCAGCATTTTTGTCACTTGCAAACTTGGAGAAATTACATTTAGTTTCCTCATCTAGATCATATATTGTGAATAGCTGACATCTAAACACTGGACTCTGCGATACACCACTGGCTGCCACTCAGACAAAGGCCCATTTATTCCTACTCTTTGGTTCCTGCCTGCCAACCTGTTCTATATACATGTCAGTACGCTACCCCCATTCCCATGTACTTTAATGTTACATTCTAATCTCTTATGTAGGACATTAAATCACTCCCGGTCTTGTCTGTTTGACCAGAGAATGAACTCCCACCTACATTCTGCCTGATTGCTAACAATGAAAGTTTATCTGTACTGGTGTCTACATCTCCTGTTCTCCTGTCTCTCTCTCTGGGACTCTCTCCCTGGGACTCTGACAGAGTCCATCTGTAACGAGCAAGAATATTGTGATAATGTTGAGTGATTTGGACAACACTGCTGCATGTGACGGATTGGCCACAGATATGTGCCAAGTTGATGATGTTTATGTTTAGAATCACACAGTCAGGGCTGGATTATAACATGCTGAGTCACTAAATTATGACAAGCTTAAGAGCCCCATAGCATTATTTTAAAATGTGTATTGTTCTAACAGAAAGCACACTGAAAATAAAAATATCAAAGTTTTATTGTTGCATATTTAAAGTAAAAAAAAAATACAATGCATTACAAACTACTTTCAAATCAAAACAGTGTTTTTTTTAATTAACATGTATGGAAACCCTTTTATCTCCAGCAACATGACAGTACTTCTAAAGAGCAGTACTTGCTAAACAGAAACAGCGTACAAGTTAAAGCATTTTCTTTTGTGATTTTGGACAGCAACGTCACTGATAAATCACAAAATCACAGAAGTTTTACAGTACATAGGGAGACCATTTGGCCCATCGTGTCTACGCCAGCTCTTCAAATGTGCATTGTGACCTTGTGTCATTTCCCCATAGCCTTGTAGTTTTGAATGCCTCAATGGAATTTGCCTCCACCACATTTCTAGGCAGTGTATTCCAGACTCATTGTGCGAAAAAAGATTTTCTCATATCAGATTTGCTTTGTTTATAAATCATTTTAAATCTCTGACCTCTCATTCTTGATGATCGGGTCCAGTTTATCCTGATCAAGTATATCCCAGTCCCTTCATGATTTTTGAAAACTTCTCCCTAAATGATAAGCAAGTTTATCAATTTCTATGTACATCATGGTTCATGCAGACAGCTTTACTTACAGCATTGTTGTCTGCAGTTCACTCTTGATGTTCTTCAACTGTACAAATGACCTATCTCCTGCACAGTTTGTTAGAATTAGGCTGAAAAAGAGCTGCATTACATTAGGGATAACTGACTGATTACTGGATACAGATTCTGATGGCATAAACGTCCTTTATCTGAATAATTTTCCTTGATATTAGCTTGAAAATGCTTTAGTTATTCAATGAGGTTGACGTAAGATTGTTAGCAGAACACTTTATCAAAAAGCTTTACATTTTCACACAGCTGTTTTCTGACGAAATCTCTGCGCAACATTTTCATATATGATTGCTCTTTTCTTCAAGTTGACTGCAAGGGTGTTCATCATAGGAATAAAGGATTTCAATCAAAATTGTCTCTTGTAGAAAGCCTTTAATTAGCATTAAGTGTATTGTCTTTGATGTCTTTTTCTTCTCAAACTGTTCCTTTTATTCACGCCATGGAGTGGCATGCAGCTGAGGAGATGGCGGTTGGTCGCAATGTTGCTGCTGATAACCACCTCCCAGGCAGTACAAAGGATGACAGTGCACAATCAAGATGACTTTCTCAAAATGCCCCTTTTATCTAAACAAATCCTTCCAGCACAAGTCTTTCACTAGTGCAAAGAAGCAGCTGTACTTTTCAGTATTTAAATACTTTCCAACCAGTCAATTTCACAAAGCAATCAATTCATAAGAGGTATATAAGATGCTAAAGAGGATTGACAAAGCAGATGTACAGTGGCTGTTTCCTTATGTGGGATGAGAGATCATAGTTTTAGGGTAAGAGGTGGCAGATTTAAAGCAGACGAGAAGAATATTACTTCTCTCAATCGGTTGTGGAGCTATGGCATTCACTACCTGAGAGTATGCTGGATGCCAAGACATTACGCTAATTTAAGGAGGAGGTGGAAGGATTTTCATTAGTAATGGGTTGAAGGGTTATGAAGAGTGGGCAGGAAAGTGGAGTGAGATCAGCCATGATTGTAATAAATGATGGAGCAAGCTCAAGGGGCTGAATTGCCCAACCCTGTCATATGTAGGAATAGAAGTGGGCCATTCAGCCCAATGAAATCATGGCTGATCTGATAATCCTCAAGTCCACTTTATTGCATTATTCCCATAACCTTTTAATCCCTGTTTAATAATGTCTATCTCTGCCTTGAGCATAGCTAATGACCCAGCGTCGACATCCCTCTGCGGTGAAGAATTCCACAGATTCACTATCCTCTGCGACATAAAATTCCTCCTCATCTCTGCCCTAACAGAGCAAACTCTCATTCTGAGATTATGCCCTCAGTTTCTAGACTCTCTCATGAGGAAACAACCCTTCTGCATCTACCCTGTCAAATCTCCTAAGAATCTTGTATGTTTCAATAAAGTCATCACGCATTCTTCTAAACCCCCAATGAGTTTGTAAACATGATGGCCAAGCTGGTGGGTTTGGTTGCGAACGTTTCATCATCGTGCTAGGTAACATCATCAGTGTGCCTCCGGTGCAGCATCAGTGTTCTGTCCTGCTTGTTATTTACATGTCTCGGATTGCTGGGGTGTTTGGTACCATTTCCGGTTCTGTTTCTCAGTGGTTTGTACACAGGGTCTAATTCAATTTATTTGTTGATGGAGTTCCAGTCAGAGTACCAGGCCTCCAGGAATTCCCTGGCGTGTATCTTTTTGGCTTCTGTGATTATGGATGTGTTGTCCCAGTCAAACTCATGTCCTTCTTTGTCCGTGTGTAGTGAGACAATGAGTCTGTAACCTAAATAATCACAGGCTCTGGTGCTTTTTGAATCCTGAAGAGGAATCCTATAATTAAAAACAGGAGGACTTTTACAAATGAAGGCAACAATTGCACCCTCAAGACGTTGAAAGACACCAATTATTCCAACAGCTGGAACACGCTAAAAACGAAATTAGCCTCAAACACAGAGTCAAGCCAGTTGCTGAATTGCTCAAATAAATACATACAAAATCGAAAGTTTATATTTTTTCCCCTTGATAAGTTTGATAAATAATCCTCGAGGGAGGGGGATTAAGTCAAGTCTCAGTCAACAAATCAAAAACCAAGCAGCGGTTTGAACCTCCCCTCCTGGTGGTGGCGCCGTAGGGTAACTGTATGGTCTCGACAGCGTCGTGTCTGATCCCTCTTGGCCTTGGAGGAATGCAGGTCTTGTTGGCGGTGGAGGAGTGTAGCGGGTGGTTACCTGGGAAGCGCGCGCGGGAAAGTGACTTGATACAGAAATAGGAACGTTGACCCGGGCCAGGTAAGGGGATGCTTAGAGATGTAGCTGCACAACTGCTCAGTGTGAAACATTCATCTTTACATCAACTTACTGCTTTTTAACATATATATATATTCACTTGCTCAATGGGGATGCAGCAAACAGCTCCAGTTTTGCCTCCCTTGTCATTCAATTCACCGGTTGCTGCAACATATTCAGGGCTTTGCTTCTTATAGCTCTCTTTGTTAAATGTAATCATTGTCCTCCCATCAGTTATTTGTTAAGCCTTTCCAATAAGGTCTGTCCGAAACTTTTTTCAAAGTTTTTAAAAAGTTTGTATACCTTATTCTGGAGTTCGATTGACACAAAACTGCATTCCAGATTGTTTTTGCAGATAGATTTTATGGGATTGTTACAAAGTTTGCCTTGTATCAAACCTTTTTTCTTCTTCCCAGTTGCCTAGAATATGTTGATAAGGAGGCCAATGTTGCTAACGTACCGTTAACTTCTTGTTTGTGTCAGTCGATATTTTTCTTAGCTCACTTTTTTTTCCACTTGGTAGGCCTTATCATTGCAAATTTGTGAAAATATCAAGATGCCGTTGGGAATTTTGATCAGGAAATTAGATGACAGGATGCATTTTAATTGAGGAGCTGGACATTGAATATTGACAGCCCTATGAAGGTTGAGCAAAATGTGATTAGGAGTATTATATTTTGGAGACACAAAGTAGGTCAGTTAGTATCTGTAGAAATAAAATCCGTGTTACTATTTTGGCTGTAGCAACTTCATATGTATTTACTGAGATGGTGATTATTTTTAGGGAGCTGGGCATTCAAAGAGAACTGTTGGAAGGCTTGAATTAAGGATTCAATAAAGCACTTCAGATAAGGTGTTGGGAATTATTCAGTTATTGAACTGGAATAAAGGACATGTGTGGTCTTTGGTAGTGTCTGTACCTCTTAGCCAGGAAGCCCAAGCCCAAGTTCAAGTTCCATTTGCTGCAGGGGTCTTTTATAACATGACTGAACTCATTGGTTAGAAATTACCTAGACCTGGAATAGAACTGATTTAATGTTTGCACTCCTGCTAGAAGGCTGCCAATACCATCAAAAGACCTCTTCCCACCCTGGTTATAATCTCTTCCAACCTCTTCTGTCAGACAGAAGATACATGTACCAACAGGTTCAAGAACAGCTTCCCCACAAGGGAGTGGGAAGGGGAGATGAAATGGCTGACAACAGGAAGCTGGGGTTGATTGGAGCATACAGAGTGCACATGCTCCGTGAATCTGTCACCGAGTCTACGCTTGGTCTCTTCGATATAGAGGGGACCACATCAGGAGCAACGGATGCGGTAGACCAGATTAGAAGACATACAGGTGAATCCCTGTCAGATTTGGAATGATTGTTTGGGCCTCGGATGGAAGTGAGAGGGAGGTGTAGGGGCAGGTGTAGCGTTTTGTGCGGTTGCAGGGAAAGGTGCAGGGGATGGTGTGGTTAGTGGGGAGCGTGGAGCAGACGATGGAGTTGCGGTGAGAGCAGTGCCTACAGAAAGCAGATAGGGGTGGGGACGGAAATACCTCTTTGGTGGTGGGGTAGGATTGCAGATGGTGAAAGTGGCGGAGGAAGATGTGTTGAGTTCGTTGCAGCATCTCGGTGTAAACTTTGCAGTGAATGGAGGGCTAAGTAGAAAGAGGTTTATTCTCCGGTTACCAATGCACCTGAGAGTGCTTGATGCTGAGTTTGTGCAAATTCTTTCTTTCTGAATGTTGGTGCTATTCAATGACGAAGGCATGAGAAAAGCATTCTGGAAAGTTGTTGTCACTGCTGAAATCTCTCTGTGGGAATCTGAAAGCCCCTGAGAAGCCAACTGGGAGTCACAAAGCAGCTCAAGTTTTCTGTTGTAATATGTAATAATTGCTGAATGGTAACTTTGCTCTCCCCTCCCACACTCCCTCAGCTTGAGCAGCATGAAGTTTGTCACGTGTGAAATAGCATGGCACAACAAAGAACCTGTATACAGTGTTGACTTTCAGCATGGACCAGATGGAAGAACTGATCGATTGGCCTCCGCAGGGGTAGACAGTGCAGTTCGGGTAAGGACTTGGATTGCTGCTGATTTGAATATTTTTGCCGGAGAACAAGTTGGAATTTGGGATGCTGGGCTGTAATTAAAGAGGTTTTGGACAGATGGCACTCGTTGTTTAAATGCACATCAACCCAAGAAAGAATAAGAAATCTTGTTCCCCTCTCCCTCAAAATGCTGTTTTTGTAAACAGTTTGCTCTGCAGCATCACAATGGAATTTACTTTGCTTTTGTTGATTCAGTTTGTGCACATCGCTGATAAGGTCAACATTTATTGAACACTCTTAATTGTTTCAATAAATGTTGACCTTACCAGCGATGTGCATAAACTGAATCAATAAAAGCAAGGTGGACCCACAATCCTGTTGGGGAAGGAATTCCAGGATTTTGACCCAGCAACAGTGGAGGAACGGCAATATATTTACAAGTCAGGATGGTGAGTGGATTGGAGGAAAACTTGCAGGTTCCCATGTATCTGCTGCCCTTGTCCTTCTGGGTGGCAGGGGATTGCAGGTTTGGAAGGTGCTATTAAAGAAGCCTATTTGGCCCTTTGAGCCTGCTCTGCCATTCATCACGATCATGGCTGATTGTCCAACTCAGTAGCCTAATCCTGCTTTCTCACCATAACCTTTGATCCCATTCGCCCCAAGTGCTATATCTAGTCACTTCTTGAATACATTCAATGTTTTGGCATCAACTACTTCTTGTGTTAATGAATTCCACAGTCTCACCACTCTTTGGGTGAAGAAATGTCTCCTCATCTCCGTCCTAAATGGTCTACCCCAAATCCTCAGACTATGGTTATGGACACACCTGCCATCGGGAACATCCTCCCTGCATCTACCCTGTACAGTCCTGTTAGAATTTTATAAGTCTCTGTGAGACCCCCCCCACTCATTCGCCTGAACTCCAGCAAAAACAATCCCAGCCTAGTCAATCTCTCCTCATACATCAGACCCGCCATCCCCAGAATCAGCCTGGTAAACCTTCGCTGCACTTCCTCGAGAGCAAGAGCATCCTTCCTCAGAAAACGAGACCAAAACTGCACACAGTATTCCAGGTGTGGTCTCACCAAGGCCCTGTATAACTGCAACAACACATCCCTGCTCCTGTACTCAACCTCTCGCATTGAAGGCCAACATACCATTTGCTTTCTTTACCGCCTGCTGTACCTGCATGCTTACCTTCAGCAACTGGTGCACAAGGACACCCAGGTCCCGCTGCACACTCCCCTCTCCCAATTTACGGCTATTCAGATAGTAATCTGCTTTCTTGTTTTTGCTTCTGAAGTGAATAACCTCACATTTAACCAGACAATGCTGCATCTGTCATTGATTTGCCAACTTACCCAACCTGTCCAGATCATGCTGGAAGATCTGTGCATCCTCATCACAGTTCACCCAACTTGGTATCATCTGCAGACTTGGAGATGTTACATTTTGTTTCCTCATCCAAATCATTAATATATATTGTGAGCAGCTGGGGTCCCAGCACCGATCCCTGTGGCAGCCCGTTAGTTACTGCCTGAATATTGGTAATTCAGCAATGGTAATGGGATTGAATGTCAAGAAAAGATGGTTAGATTCTCTCTGGTTAGAGATAGACATTACCTGTCATTTGTCTCTTGTGATTGTTACTTGCCACTTATCAGCCCAAGCTTGGCCTGACCATATTCTCATATCATATGATGAATTGAATAGTTTGATGTGTGGCTGTCAGGAACTTCAGGCAGAGACTAACATGGTTCCTCCAAATGTGTTTCATCATTGGCTTGTGCTGTGATCTGCTGGGCTCCCCTATCTTTGAGGATGGTGATAGTTGTGGAACCATCTCCTCGGCTAAGTTGTGTGTGTATACCACCACTCGTGACCGGATGTCATAGGACATTACAGCTCTGATCTGCTCTGGTTGTGAGATTGCTTGGCTCTGTCTATCCCATACTGCTCCCACTTCAGTTGTACTTGTAGCACCTGTATTCAGCGTCACCAGTTTGGCAAATCATTCTTAGGTATGCTTAGTGCTGCTTTTGGGATGCCCATCTGCAGTCTTCACTCAGATTCAGTGAGTTTGACTATATCGGGCTGTAGTTTGTCCAGTCTGTGAGACAGCTCTGTCACTTCTGGCACAGGACTCCCATATGTTTGTACAGAGGACTTTGCTGGGTCAACTGGTTAGGGTTTGTCTGAATGCTAAGCCTAAGTCAGTGCTGAGTGATCCTCAAAGTTTCATCTTATAGTTGTCAAATTTTGATAGAACCAAGTGGCTTGCTAGGTATTTAAAGGTAAGTTAGAGATTAGCCTCATTTTTAGTACATTTGAATTCAGGGCATTAATGAGCAAGTTGTTTCTAAATGGACTTAATTTTTATTCCAGTTCTATTTACTAAAAAGAGTTAATTGGGTGTTTAAACCTGAATTTCTGCATTATGAATACAGTCCTCTGTGTTACTAGCCCGGCAACAAGTGCTATGCTGCCATACCTTGCTGATGCTAGCAACTTGAAACATTAATACTGACGTAGCTTTATCTGAATTGTGTTTCATTGTGTTGAAGACTGCTTTGATTATTTACATGATGATGCAGTAAGCTTCCTGTTATGCAGAGGTATTGTTCTGCTATAAACGTGGTAACAAGATGGGCTACAAATCTGTGAACAGGAACCATCCCTGTCATCTCTGCGTCAATCGTTGTAGTCCACCCAGAGAAAGCTGGCAGGTAGAAGCCATCGCAAACTTTGTTAAAGCCTACAGTGCCATTACCTCATTTATTCATTTAAAACAAAATTCACCATGTCTGTTTTCTCTCTTCTCAGTTTGGGGATGGTGCCTTATTGTCTGAACCCCCTTTGCTCATGGCAAAGGGATCCTTGTTTATTTGTGAACTTTGGTGCTTATAAGGTCATTGTGAGATCTCCAGTCAGACTGTGGTCTTGTTCACAAGTAGACACTCAAAAGGCTTGACAGTTTCCCTCACTCTGACTGTGACACAGCAGCACAATATAACACTCAGACAATTTAACGTAGCTCTCAGGATTTAACCCAGTGTGCTCTTGGTTCTAGGGGGGAGCCGTGATGCTCATTGTAAACACTGGCTGTGATTGGGCATCTTCACCTGCTTCATCGCCATTGCTTTCTTGCAGATATGGAAGGTAGATGAAGGCCAGGATGGAAAAGCAGTGGTGGATATTTTATCCAATCTAATCCGTCATACGAAAGCTGTGAATGTTGTACGATTCTCCCCGAATGGTGAGGTTCTCGCGTCAGGAGGAGATGGTAAGTGAAACTTTTGCATAATTATGGTTGAGGGAGATCATTGGCTTTGTAAATGCAAAATGGAACTCTTGGTTATTACCTCAAATAATTACACTGAAAGGTTTCATCTTTTAAATGAAAGTACACTTTTATTGTACAAGAATTAAGCAAAGCAAATACTATTAGCTTAACACTATTTTTCAAACACTTATTCTGAAAACTCCAAAATTTCATCAGATTACTTCCTGCTATGTTTCCAATTCCGACCAAACTGTTTCTCCTGTACAGGATCTGAGGGTCAGTTCGCTTGAAACCAAATCAAGGCATGCCACAGATCTCAGGAATTCACTGTGATTCTTTTCACTTTCCTGCCATTCTTTGGAGTGTGAGAGTCCTCGGAATCCTTCTGCTAGCATTCGGCCAGGCAATCCTTTAACTCTGTTTAAGCACCTCATAAATGTGTATCCCCACCTTAAGAATGCGTCTCAAAGCCTTCTTGATTAGTGGTCTAACGGTCCTTTCTCTGGCCTGTTTTTACATAGCTCTTCCAAGCTGACTCCTGGCATCTTTCTGTCTTATTGCCTGTATCTGTTCAAAAAAAGGACCCAATAAGCTTAAAACACAGAGTACTAAAAAGGATAATACTGATCTCCCAAGCAATGTGGCATACTTGGATGTTCGCCATAGAAATGTCAATTGTTCATCTTTTACCTTTAAAATAACCTTTAGATTATAGAGTTCTCATAAATAATTTTTTTCATTTACTCTTGAGATGTGGGTGTTGCTGGCTGTTCCTAGTTGCCCTTGAGAAGGTAGTGGTCAATTGCTGCCTTGAAATGCTACAGTCCGTGTCCCATAGGTAGATCCACAATGCTTTTAGGGAGAGAATCATAGGATTTTGACCAAATCTATATGTCATCGATAGTCACAGGTGAGGTGCTGGAAGACTGGAGGTTGGCTAACGTGTTGCCACTATTTAAGAACGGTGGTAAGGAAAAGCCAGGGAACTATAGATCAGCGAGTCTGACATTGGTGGTAGGCAAGTTGTCAGAGGGAATCCTGAGGGGCAGGATTTACATGTATTTGGAAAGTCAACATGGCTTTGTGCGTGGGAAATCATGTCTCACTAACTTGATTGAATTTTTTGAAGAAGTAACAAAGAGGATTGATGAGGGCAGAGTGGTGGACGTGATCTATATGGACTTCAGTAAAACTCATGGTAAACTGGTTAGCAAGGTTAGCTCATGTGGAATACTGGGAGAACCAGCCATTTGGTTACAGAGACAACAAGGTGCAGGGCTGGATGAACACAGCAGGCCAAGCAGCATCATAGGAGCAGAGAGGCTGACGTTTCGGGCCTAGACCCTTCATCAGAAAAGGGGGAGGGGAAGGGGGTT